TTTTTTTTTTTTTTTTTTTTTTTTTTTTTTTTTTTTTTTTTTTTTTTTTTTTTTGATCTAACGGTAGAGGGTGACACCAATTTAGACTGAATAAGTTACCAAAGTAGTTCCGCACTCTTTTGCTGAAGCTACAGTGAAGTAACAGGTGAGAAAGAGATTCCTCACTCCTTTTACAGAGGACACACATATTAGGGGAGATGTTAAGGTGGGGATTCTTCGCTCCTTTCACTGCCCTTTGTTAATCTAGGTTGGTCTTTTCTGCTGGATATTTTTGTTTTAGCTTGCTGTCTGACCATGCAAATAGTTCTCTACAAGAGCTGTAGTTCTTTGGAATTATGCAGCTAGAGTGCTCCTTTGGTATATTTGGTTGGAAAGGAATCTTCATACTTTTGAAGAAAAGTCTTCTTCTTTTGAGTTTAAGAAATGTATAGATCATTGCTTCTTGGTGGTGTTGTAATCACAGGAAAATCTTTTGTAACTATAGTCTTTCTATGAATTATGAACAAAAGATTTCTTTAGGTTTTTTGTGGGTGGGGATTCCTGTTGGCAGTTTCTTCCCTTTTTTTTTTTTTTTTTCATATTTCAATAAACATATGTTTCTTTAAAAGAAAAAATAAAAGAAGAAAAGAAACCACAACCAGTCTTGGTTTATCTTAGAGCTTGTGGAAATATAAAAGAGATTTGGGTTCTAATGGAACCCTTCAAATATCACAGAGGTTGGTGGTTTTCACATAAGATCAATCGAGGTATGTGTGAGTAGTAGGTCCGGACACTCATGAGTTGAATATCGAAAGTGTTACGTGGGCATGTTCAGTGATAAACACAAATCAATTGTCCAATGACTGATGAGGAGAGCATGATGAATTAAAGCAAAGGCCTTAATCGTGAAAATGACTGTTTAGATTAGAGGATATTTAGTTTTTGTGGTTCTGCCGTATGAGGATGATGCTTCAGTGCCATCCATCTGGTGGGTTCATGAGATGTCTTCCATTGGTTCAATATCTTTTTAAGCATAAAGAACTTTTACAAATTTATCAACAATCTGTCCTTGACAGAGCTCCGTCTTGTTAATGGTGACATGATGTGGTCGAATATGAGAGAAACAGTCCCAGTGGGATATTGTTGGACTTCTCGTTACTTTTGAGTGAGTGTCTGGCGTGTGCTAGTTAACTAAGCATCTCTTTCTCTTTTTGACCATGTCTTTCTTGAGTAATTTGAAGACGAAATTGTACCGTTTTGGCCCTACTTATTGTAACGGCTCAAGCCCAACGCTAGCAGATATTGTCCAAAACGCATCTGCTAGGGTGAGACTTTTACACCCTTATAAAGAATGCTTTGTTCTTGTCCCCAACCGATCGTGGGATCTCACACTTATTATTGAGCAAGTCAAAGAAAATATTGCTCTATTCAGCCATGCCCTCATTTCTTCCTCAAACCCTCCTCTTTTCCCCATCCAATTTTGATCTATCATCTCTGCAAATGCAAATTGGGGGAAAAAGAAAATCCATCTGCCTTGCTGGAGGCCCACGCTATTACTACCAAGAAAAGGCAGCCCTAAGCTCCTTCACTGATCAATGGTTGGCCTTTCTGGGTAGCTAGATGCGTGTCTTGTGATTTGTTTGATTTCGTAGTAACTTTCATGTAAGCTTTTCAGTCATGAATTTAAGTTTGAAGAACATGGTTGTTGCAGGTAATGAGGATGGACGAATAGAGCAAAAGGGGCTAGTGTTGAAATGTTGCATTCTATAAGGTAAAAGGCCAAATATGATAATGTAAATAAACACAGACATTTGATGTTACTATTTAAGCAACGTGCTTATGTCTACACGCGCATATGAATGAAGCTGAGTTGTGCTCCATTAAGTGACATGTTTGTCAGGATCTCAATTTTCTTGTTTGCTATTTGCGTAGCCTTCCCTTCCCTTTTGAACAGCTTACTGATGAGATGGTTTCCTTTCGGCTGTTCTTAGAGATCAGCAAAAGAGATCAAAGTGAAAAAGACAAATGCAAGTTATGTTAATAGAAATCAATCAAAATCTTTGTAGATTCTGTTCCCCACTAACCCCCTTCCATTCTGCATCCTCTCAACTTTTTATGAACTAAATTCACAACTTTCTAGCTATTGTCTATCAGTTCCATTATTATCTGCAGATTGTGGATATATATATATATATATATATATGTATCTCATTTAACAATAATCCAACCCCATTTGGACAATTGATATCAACCTTATTTTATCTGGACTTATGGTTTTAATTGAGGTCAGTTTAGATTGAATAGATTGAATGTATGAGATCAAAGATGGAGAGTGTACATGAGTCAGGTTGGGTTGGAAAAATCTTTTGAATTAGGTTGGATTAGTGAACCAAGCTACCCAAATAGAATTTACCATCTAACCCAACTAAATTATTATTATTATTTTTTTTTTTTTGTTGGATTGTCAACTTGTTTGGTTTTTAAAATTATTTAAGAAATTCTAATTATTCACAGTATATTACATTAATAACTAAAGTATTATAAAGTTCAAATACTAAGTCTTTGCAAGTAAAAATACATCACTAACATTGATTATAAACGTTTAGTATTTTTAATCTTTTTAAAAGTAAGGTAGAGAGTTTGGATTGATTATTAGGTCATATGAACATTAGACATGTGTATTTTGAATTTTTCGCATTATAGATATTGATTCAATTAAAATAATTATTTTTGAAAGTTTAGTCCCTTTCAATAAAGAAAATTGTAAAAAAAAATATTGGTTTTTGGGTGAGAAGAAGTAGAGGTGGGTTTAGACAATGTTGGATAAGCATGTCACATGGGGTCTATACATATATTTGGGCATCCCATGTTTAGTTCGTTGCTACCCACAAATTTATTACATTCATTTTTAAGACAAAAATCTTATCTTCTCAACGGCCTTTCATCTTAACAAAACCCTCGTCACTTTCAAATCAAAATCTTATAACTAACGACCCATTATTGATAAGTCTTATCCTAGTTTTAGTACATCGAATTTGATCGTTTTTTCTTACGAATTTGGTTGATGCAGATGTAATTATGATTGTTTCATTCGTATGAAATAGAGCATATTTCGAATGGCTACCTATTTGGTATATATATATATATATATAGTTAAGAAAATTAAAGTGAATATAAAGATTGTGGAAAGCAAATGATTAAATTGGTTTGGTGGGAGATTTTGGTGAAAAAGAGATGATTTTGAATATATAATAAAAATAGGGATTAAAAAAATAGTAAATGGAAGCAGGTGCAGATGGACATGGTTGTCCCAAGCATCTCTCTCTCCCTTTCATTTTTCAACCTTTTCTCTTTCTATATTTAATTATCTCAAATAAACAAATTCAATTATTCTTCTATTTATAAACAAATATATAACATAATCAAACTACTCAACTTTAATCAAATCTGCAATAAATAAATAAAAAGTGATCTAAAATATTTTGACAATCAACTTGTGCCCCATTGCACCACGTGTCGCACCAATAGCCAGGAATCACTTTGGCTTACACGGTTGAGTCGACTCGCTCGATAAAAGGGCATTTTGCCTAATATTTGCTGTTTCAACATCCCAAAGCTGAAATTGACTTTATTTAAGACAATTAAGATTAGTATAAGGTTCAATTTCTCGATTTAAGTTAAATTGAGTTAAGGAATTTGAGTTACCAACGAAATGAGATGGAAGTTCTAATAAGAAACGACAACCGGCGATACTTGGAGCAATTTCGAGGGATGAAAAGAGAATATACTCGAATTTAGGAAAACGTTGGCTAAGGCCAACTAAGTAGGTGACCTTACTATCAGTTGAATTATATTTATATGTTGTATGATGGCACGTGCCCGTGGCTTCGTATGTGTCATATGCTCGAGTGTTTAATTGGTTATCATCAACCAAAATTTGTAACCATATAAGAATAAATGAAACTTGATTCTTCTTTAATATGACATGAATTGGAACATTTTATGATAATTTGAACAACATTTTCTTTACATCTTCCTTAAAGTTTATCTTACATAATTGATGTATTTGTTCATATCAATAAAATTGGACTACAAAATGTTTAATCTCTTCTCAAAAATCCATTAATCGAGAATATCAATATTTCACACGATTACCATAACCAATTCGATCTAATCTTAAGTTATGAATTCCTACCTGAGCTCGTCTTTTAACTTCCACGAACAGAATAACTTTTGTAGTTGATCCAGTTTGACTGTCATTTTGGAGATTTAACCAAGTAGATACTTAAAGATATAATTTGACAAGATGAAAGTTCTTTTTTTTTTTACGGAGGGTAACTGAAAAAAGTAGTTTTTTTGCGTGTTGATTTTGAGACTTAAACAATAGTGTTTCACTCTCGCTCAATAGAAACTAAATAGAAACTAAATAAATGATAAAAACATATATTTTATTTTATTTTATTTTCATAGATATAGATAGTAAGTAGCCTTTTATTAGTCTAAATGGGCTATAGAGGGAGAAAATTGTCCTTTTCACCAACCTGCCGACCAAAATATTTATTTTTTTAAAAAAATAAATATTACTGTTGTATTTTATCACTCTATAGTCACATATATTAAATGCTTTATTATTATCTTCTTTATTTTTACTTTTCACCGTTACCTAATTTGACGGTCAAAAGGGTGGTGCATTTAATTTCTACGGACTTTTTTCCATGCTTCAAAATATATATTTAATTCAAAGTGGGGTTATAAAAATTTCATTGTTTTTACTTTTATACTTTTCAATTTTTATTATTATTGTTTTTTTTTCCCATATCATATTTATTATTTTGTTAAATGAGCTCATTTATTTGATTTACCAAAATATGTATTTTAAATTGCTATATCTATATATGATTTTGCAAATATTTTAATTATAAAATTTTAGATGAGTAAATTCAAATTATATTAATAATTAAAATTTTCATAAAATTTAAATATAAAAGTTATCAATCTATCATAATTTTAATTAAAAATATTAAATATTTTTATTTTTTTAAAAAATTAAGGTAAAGATAGATTGTAACCTTATTTTTGCGTTGGTTGGGTTGACTCAACCAAAAAAATGTCAACCTACATACCTATCTAAATTATTTATCTTCCAAACAGTCAACTCAATCCAACTAAAATTGGAAAAAAAAAAAATCTTACCCAATTTAATTTATATAGTTCAGATTGAATAATCTAAATTATTTGGATGCCTATTATTGTTAATTCTAGGACCAAACGTGTTTGTGTTTTTTATATGCTGACGTGGCTAACCACTTTTAAACCTAAACTTGACCTTTTTGCCCCCAAATAATGTTTAAATTATTATTAAACAACCTAAATACATGAGGTTCTTGGGAGTTATAAATAAGGGTTTAATAATGAGTATGACCAGAAGAGTGATTATGAAGCACTGGTTTAGTTCAAGAAAATTGTTAATTTAATAAGCGTACACATAAGTTGTTGGTATCATCATTGTCTTTTTATTTCAAAATTTGATAAATACCTGCATGTGTGCATACGTACATTTCTTTATTCATTATTTATATTTAATATACTTCCTAAAATAATGGATGCCTTTAATGAAATGTAAAGCTTACATTATATTAAACTCAAAGTCGGTGACGCATGTCAATGCAACTATTTTAGTACAACTTTTATGAACATTGGGATATGAACCTTCACCCATGTTTTAACACTTGAGTTAAAGGAGGGGCATGAGAATTAACCAAAAACCACGTTTGAATGAGATCTATTCTTAATATAGGAAGACGGGAAGAAGGCTTAAAAGAATTTGAAGTTACTATCTATACCAATAATGTTATAAGGATTCAAAAAAAAAAAAAAATGTAGATGCCAAAATTCTTGCATCTTCAACCTACCCACGAGGCCACACTTCCTCGACCCTCCTCAACACTTCCAAGGACTCCGTACCCCTACCATCTCGAGAGAAAATAGATCACAGAGAAGAAGAATACCCATCAAACCTTCCCTCAGATTGAATCTCCTGCGAGATCTAATTTTTGGAAAGCTTAATAATATCGATGGATCTATGTGTATAGGTAATTACACGGCTTTGTAATGTCGTGGGGGTGAAGGAAACGACAAACCGAAGGTCATAGGAGACAAAGGATGACGAAAAGAATCTTCGGAAGACGATTCGGGAGGAGAGAGAAAGTTGAAGAAAATTGCAAGCGAGTTGAGTGAAGAAGACAACCAATTTAGGTCGACTTCGGGTTGAATTTGGGTTACCCAGTACAAGAGCCAACCCACGATCAACAAGAGCAACCATGAACAACACGTCCTAGACAAGCAAGATCGAGATATCTATCATGCGGTCATTAACAACACGCCTTAGACATGCATGACCGTGAATCCTCTCCCACTCAATTGGTTGACATCCCTGTCAACCGACCCAAACAAGCAAGACTAGGACATCTGTCATGCGGCCATAAGAACATGTTTTGGACAAGCATAATCGTGACATCCTCACCCACTCAATTGGTTGACGTCTCTGTCAACCAACTTGGTTACAACTTTGTGTTGTAGACTGAGATTGACGTTTAGGTCTCTTCAATGTGTTTCCAGTTGGTTTCAGTGTTGCGGAGTCTCGTCAATTCTGTAAGGAGCTGTTGAAAACTGCTTCTTGGTTTGTTGGCTCTTGGCGTCTCCTCCGTCAAAGTTTCTCCAACATCTTTTTCTTCGGGATTCTTCTTCTTTATGAGAGGTCATGTCACATTTCTGTGCTTGACGTCTTTTACTTCGGAAGAGTAGCGTTTCATGTTACTAACGTGGACAACAGGGCTAGTCCACATCCATGGGAGCAAATGGATCCTATACGATGCCTTTTTGATCTTGTGAATAACTTCGACTGGTTCGTAGTATTTTCTCACCAGTCTTCGACTCTTGTTGTTTTGATCTTGGAGTTAATTTGACCTCAACTTGATCAGAACTCTCCCTCCTTGAAACTGTCGTGGTTGACACTTTCGATCGACCCTTCTCTTTCTCTGTCTTGATGGTATTTCTAAGTGACCA